AATGTGACACTTATTCGGATTCGTCATCGTACAATACAAATTCTCTCGATTTCGAAAAAATTCAGCACCTCCTATCACATCAAAAGGAAGTCTATCAAATAAAAAATGAATGTCAACCTGTTGCTAAATGATGATAGAAATTTTTGAATCAATTCAATGATGGCATTCAATCACATAGAATTCCTGTCTACGTTGATCAATGTCTTGTTTTTGTATATTTTGCTCGTGTCATGTATCCGTGAAAAAAAAGAGTCAAGATATTTTAGTAAAATCGGTTATCTTTTTATCAAGAATGAATTAAAATGATACTAACGGGTGAGGAAGAAATAATGGTCGCGTTTTGCATACCATTTTTGAGTTATTTAATACGAGGTATTAAGAAAAGAAATTATACCAAAATATGCAACGTGAAAAGCCCTACAGTTTGCATAAATCAGCTTTTTTCCTAGTTGTCCTTTGGCTGCCAAAAAGTCAAATTTTTGAGCGATCACATATTGACCATGCGAAAACGATGCTTTTTCTTACAAAAAGAATTTGTGTTGTCTTCTTATTTTACCTTTTTATCGTCTCAAATAGTTTACTTTAAAAAAATATACCAGTAGATGCAGTGTGAAAAGCTCTATAATTTACATAGAAGAGCTTTTCTTATAGTTGCGCTTTTGGGTTCAAAAGGGACTAAACTCGAAGCAACCAAATACCGACGCTGCGAACAAGATATTTTTTGGTACATGACGACTTCGTTTTTTTATTTCATCTTTTGATGGTCTTGAAAACGAAAACTGCAAATGTAAGAAAAACTATATTATGTAAATTGTAGAGCTTTTCATGCTGCATCTTTTGGTATAATTTCTGGTCTTAATACCATGTATTAAGTGACTCAAAAGTGATAGGGTGTGGGTGTGGGTGTGGGTGTGGGTAAACGGTAGATGTACGAATGGTTCATTGTATTAACCACACCACCCACACCCACCCTGCTTTTTTCAATCAGCTGAACTTGCAAATTCGATTTTTTCGAAAAGAAGTTGTATTTAGTTATTGGAGTATATCAAAATGAAAAACAAAGTTAACAATATAATTCCCTAATTGTCGTGTACTTGTCACATTTGACATTTACCAAGGCGAACAATGATTTAACTTGATTCACTTTATTCAAATTATAAAATTATTGTGCTATAAAGAGAATAATATTTATTTTTTTTCAATTTAAAAGAATGGAAGTTCAAGGACGCCCACCAAACACTTATACACGAGTCAGTTATTCAAGTTTTCTCATTTTTTTTTCATTTTACTGATTTATTTTTCTGTTCTGTGTCGCATACATGCAACATTCAATTGGACAAAGTATCAAAGAGTGAATCATTCAGTCGTACGTATGTGAGTCGAGACAGATTCCATTCAAACTTGGAAAAAATCAAACCGAAAGGAAGTGTTAAAATGCATATATAAATGGAAAAATTGTGTTTTTCTTACGTTTTTATTCATTAACACAGAAAACAACAACGAAAAATCATGCCTCTTTACACTTTTATCATGCTCGTATGGTATACATTCATCACAAAAACACCAAGTGACAACAGTCTTTTTGCAAACTCACTATTTTTCTGCAAAGTAGTCAATAGACACCAATTCTGGACTGATGTTGAACCTGTCTTAAATCAAATTGATGATGCCATTGCGTCCGATTTAGTGCCATCACCACAACTGCTTAACCTGTGTTTTAAAATACTTGCAGGAGCATCAATCGTTCTTCCCGAAGAATTGAACGCTGTTATTACCCGGGGTGAACATTTTTGGTGTACAATGACGTTAATATTGTATCGTCTTAAATCTGAAGCAATCGTTCGCAAATTAAAACAGTTACCATCAAGAATTCAAATTAGTGAACAAGGTTTTCTTCGTGATGCATTTCGTGTCACATCTCATGAACGAGGCGCTGAATATCTGGTTCAAGCAACAGAATATTACTCACCAGTTCAATTTTATAAAAATGCCAATCGTATGATGAAATTACGTGAATGGAAAGTCTACAAATTACCATCGTCAGCATTTAATCTAACATATGGAGATGCGGAAAAACTAACTTTCGTTGCACAATACAACTTAGAGAGAAGTCAATCCGAAGATGGCACATCAACACATGTGTTTGGCAGAACAGATATTGAGGATGGTGGGCACGTTTCCATTGCTAATTATATGACAATGCCTGGGCCACAAATAGATGGATACTATGAAATGAAATTACTGGTAATTGAAGATTTGAAATCATTGAACGGACTGCCAGTTTTAACAAGAACGATACGCAGCTGGAAAGTTGGCATCGATGCTGTTATTGTGTACGGTCACAAGCGACAATATCTAAAAATTCTCGGTCTTAAAGTTAATAATGACATGTTCTATGATGATGATATAGTGATAGAGTACGATGCAAATACAGGACGACAAATAGAACATTTGGAACTTGAAAGTAATTGAATTTTTTTGTGTTACACATTTTTGAACGTTCAAGTTTTTCTTCTTTCTAGCTGCATTTCATTCGAGTTATTTTTTAAAACTAATTTGTAACTAAATATTTTCCGCTTGTGTCAGAAAAATATGTCAACCAGAACTTTATTTTTGAAAATACAGTCTTCAGAACGTCAACACTCTAATGACTTAGTTATGCTCTTTCGCAACTAATTCTTCTGCTGATTTCATTCCAGCGTGAGGTCTTCTCAAGA